AATGTAAAGGAAGCAACTTTTTAAACCTTGAGAAGCAAAATAATAAATGACACCCAGTGCTTTGCACAATAGAGACACCTATTTGCCACATTGAAAGAATATTTTCTCCTATGTATAAATACTGTTGCCTTATATTTGATTATTTCTATCCATGTTATACTTAGACAGTTTCACAAGTTTGTGCCAACTTGGAACATTCCACAACTGATCTTGATTTCTACTGGGGTTCTCTGTTAACTTACTAGTCTGGCATAATAGGGACTATTGTTAAATAATACTTTTCTTTTGGTGAATGGTAAACTTAACTTTTTAAAAAGTGCCTTTTTATTTCATCATTTTATAATATAATATTGCTATTGAGAACATGAATTGTGTCCTTTATATTTTCTCAGCACTGTGCTGATTTTTAAATTTACCAAACAAAAATGAATTTACTAATTTAGGGTGATTATATGTATGTTATGGGCTTCCTTGGTGTCTCAGATGGTAAAGCGTCCTCCTGAAATGCAGGAGACCTGAGTGATTCCTGGGTCAGTAAGATCCGCCAGAGGAGGGCACAGCAACCCCCTCCAGTATGCTTGCCTGGAGAACTCCATGGGCAGAGAAGCCTAATGGCCTATAGTCCATGGGGTCACATCGAGTTGGACACGGCTGAGTGACTTTCACTTTCATTTTTCATATGTACATTATACTAGCTCAGATATCACAAGCTATTTGCTATGATTGCCACCTTTCATTTATTTTATGACTCATAGTTTTCTGACATAAAGGTCTCCCATAGCATTTAAAAATATCATTGTCACTGCTATTCATCCATGGCTGTAAGGCCCTCTCTTCCCTGCATCACTTCTCCTCCAGAAATTAATTTAGTTATTTTTATCTGTTCTTCTTTAGTTTAAAATATATTGTTCCCCAATTGTGTGCACTCACTAACATTGAGTTCAACCTCTTTTACATTAAATGCATTTACATTTCAATTATTGATACATTAAGTACATGTTAGGACATCCCCAATGGCCCAGTGGGTAAAGAATTCACCTGAAATGCAGGAGACACAGAAGATGTGGGTTCAAGCCCTCTGTTGGAAAGATCCCCTGGAGAAGGAAATGACAACCCACTCCGGTATTCTTGCCTGGAGAATCCCATGGGCAGAGGAGTCTGGTGGGGATCACAAAGAGTTGGACATGACTGAATGACTAAGAACACATTAAATACATGTTAAAACTTTGTGTGTGAAGCCTTTATGCTAATTCAGAACAACCGCCTTATGAGAGGTCTCTTGGAATGTCCATGAGTTTCTGTAGATGGCAGACTTGGCTTCGGACATTTACTTATATTGGAATTATTATGCTAGAAATGTCTTATCAGATAATCCTTGCAGAAGAGGAGAATTCAGTCTACAATTAGGCATTATGAGGTATGGCGTAAGATAACAGAATCTGCCCATGGCCAAGAGGCTCATAAGAAATTACAGCTTTTTGGCCAGCATTCAGTTCTCCGTATATTGACCTGAAATGTTCCCTTTTAACAGTAAACCCATGGTTTTATTTGCCATAGATATTCAGAGCAAATTGCACCCTTTTTACATATGGTGGCTATTTTCCTTCTACATTTTCTTTTCTATTTCCTATGCTCTTATGTGCTTTAATGTACTTTTCTCCTCACTTTTAAAACTTTTGAGCTGTTGTGTGCATACATTAAATCTTTCAATTCTTACTCCAATCCTGTGAGATAGTATTCTTATTCTGTCCATTTGACTGAAACTCAGAAAGATGAAGCTTTCTGAGATGTCAAGACAGATGTCAACTGAGACTATTAGTGGCTCATGTCAGGCTCTTTTAGCCACTACATCTCTCTCACCACGTTTTATGTGGCCCATTTTCTAGGCTCCTTGCTTAGAGGACTCTGGTTACATTCCTATTTATTGTTGCTGTTGTTGTTTAGTCACTAAGTCATGTCTACTCTTTGTGACTGCCTGGACTGAAGCTGGCCAGGCTCCTCTGACCATGGGATTTCCCAGGCAAGAATACTGGAGTGGGCTGCTATTTCCTTCTCTAGGGAATCTTCCCAATCCAGGGATCGAATCCGCATCTCCAGCATTGGCAGACAAAGTCTTTACCGCTGAGCCCCCAGGGAAGCTCTCCCGTTTGTATACATCTCTTTCATCAGACAGAACAGACAAAACGAACTCAATGCTACAGATGTGCAATGGCCTCTAGTTTAATTGCTTGGGCATGTGCTATCAGCCTGCATACTTGTGCAATGCAAGAGTGAATTACAGATTGTTTTCATTCCTTGGCTTGTCTTCAATAGTAGTTAAATTGGGTCTTACCATTATAAGTGTGTATGTGTGTGTGTGTGAGTTTGTAAATGTCTATCTATGTATACATGGGTTACCCTGGTGGTTCAGATGGTAGAGAATCTGCCTGTAATACAGAATACCCAGGTTTGATCCCTGGGTCAGAAAGTTCCCCTGAAGAAGGGAATAGCAGCCCACTCCGGTATTGATGCCTGGAGAATCCCATGGACAAGGAGCCTGGTGGTCTCTATGTGGTCGCAAAGAGTTGGACACAACTGAGCAACTAATACTTTCATATATGCTGCATTTTTCCACTTAAAAGGACCCTGAATCTTTACTTGGTAAACTACACTTTATCTTCTTTAGTATATATTAGCTTCCCTAGGTCTTATACCTCCATCTTAGTTATTCTTCCCTTTTTTGTTCCATCTCAAAATTCAGTATAAGTGTACCTTTACCAGAAGACTTCACTGGTGGCTGGGACAGTAAAGCATCTGCCTACAATGCAGAAGAGCCAGGTTCGATCCCTGGGTCGGGAAGATCCCCTGGAGAAGGAAATGGCAACCGACTCTAGTCCTCTTTGCCTGGAAAATCCCATGGACAGAGGAGTCTGGTAGGCTACAGTCCATGGTGTCACAAAGAGTTGGACATGACTGAGCAATTTTACTTACTTATCTTTAACCTACATTTAACACTTTGATATTTAAGGTGTTCTATGTAGTCTGATTAGATTCCTGAAACTTTTCATTTGAGATTTCTTGGTCTGTTTCTTGGTCAGTATGATAAGAAATCCATAAATTTCTTTTTTTAGCGCATTCTATCATCCTTGAGTTATATTTCTTTTTAAGGCTTCTCTCTATGAGATTTTGCCTATCGTTCCTCTAGGCCTTCTGTCCAAACCTCCTGGGTCTTGAGTTGAGTTGAGGTTCATTTTCCATCCCTCTTTTAGTTATTATGACAAATGTTGGTTCCCTGTTCCTGAGAATAGCTAAGAACTTTGAATTGTAGCCAGATAAAGCCACCTTTCCCATTTCTGCTAGCATTTCCAACTTACTAGCAATTTTTATTCACACCAATTTTGCACTAGCATAACCAGAAGATAGAAGTCACTTTGCTCTTCTGCATGGTCGTACATGTTCAGTCGTGTCCAACTCTTTTCAATCCTTTGGAATATAGCCCACCAGGCTTCTCTGTCCATGGGATTTTTCAGGCAGGAATACTGGAGCGAGTTGGCATTTGCTCCTCCAGGGGATCTTCCAGACCCAGGGGTCAAACTTGCATCTCCTGTGTCCCTTATGTTGCAGGCAGATTCCTTACTGCTGAGCCTTCAGGGAAGCCAGGAGTCTCTTTAGACTGTCAATAATTGACTGTTGCTGCATGTTAATTAATCTCTATGGTCTTCATCTTCCTCATCTATAAAAGTCTGTTGGACTATGACCTCTGAGGTTGTGTAAGTCCTAAAGGCTATGGTTTTAAAGTATACCAGATTACCTGTAGACCTTTTAATTTAACATTTAAAATTAAATCAAGAGCAGTGGCTCAACTTTGCCCCTCTGAGATTTACCCAGGACTGTGTACTTCAACAGTCATCTTATCTTAGTAATTCAAATATGGAAGGATTTCCTTACTGTAGGACTTCTAACTAATCATTGCCTCAGATGCCCCACTCTGGGGGTGGAGGAGGCATTGGGAGGATCGCCCAGGTACTGGCCCACAGGTAGCAGCACAACCCCTGCACACCAGCTTCCCTAACAAGAGGTCGCGGCCCTGGTGGTGACAGAGGCGCCCTGAAGGACATGCTGGCTCTTTTTCTTCACATGGTTGCCATCCGTCTACTGGCAGATGCTTCACCTGAATCGTGGTCTTGCTATAGCTTTTGTTTCTTTATTTTTTGGCTGTCCTGGGTTTTCATTGCTGCAGGCGGGCTTTCTTTAGTTGCGGCGAGCAGGGGCTATTCTCTAGTTGTGGTGCACAGGATTCTGTCATCGCAGTGGCTTCTCTTGTTTTGAAGCATGGGCCCTAGAGCACTTGGGTTTCAGTAGTCAAGGCTCACGGGCTTAGTTGTCCCATGGCATGTGGGATCTTCCCGAAGTGAAGTGAAAGTCACTCAGTCGTGTCCAATTCTGCGACCCCATGGACTACATAGTCTGGGAATTCTCCAGGCCAGAATACTGGAGTGGTAGCCTTTCCCTTCTCCAGTGGATCTTCCCAACCCAGAGATCAAATCCAGGTCTCCCGCATTGTAGGTGGATTCTTTACCAGCTGAGCTACAAGGGAAGCCCAAGAATACTGGAGTGGGTAACCTATCCCTCCTCTAGCAGATCTTCCCGGCCAGGGATCAAACCTGTGTCTCCTGCATTGGAAGCCAGATTCTTACATGTGACTGCTTTTGATGAATTTTATCTGTGGATCATAGTGCACATGGATTCTTAACACTACAATAGTTTAATGAAACCATTTTACAGCCTATTTTCTATGTTCTTGATTCTACAGGGTTTACAATATCAGTAATTCACATAGCTGGGAATCATTCCAAAGTTAAAAGTAAATGATTTCATTTCAGATATCAGTTTAAACTAAACTACAAAAAAAAAGTGACTTGACTCCTGTATTTGGGATTACATGGCCATTTCCTTAAGTGTCCATCTCCTGAAGTTCTTTGTGTGGCCTTTCTTCTAGTAATTATCTCCTTTGTTTCTAGGTGAATGAAATTTACCATGATGAGTCCCTGGGAGTGCATATAAATGTAGTCCTGGTGCGCATGATAATGCTGGGTTATGCAAAGGTAAAATGTCTTACTATATGTGAACTGTGAACATCAAAGAGTGGGTTAGCAAACAGATTAGTCTACTGAAGCTATAGTAGATATGTCTCACATAGACCCCAGTTGCTCTGAGTTGAGAAGAGAAAACTGCCCCAATGAATGGAGATCTCTAACTTAGATTAGATAATGAATGATTTTTGTGCTGGTGTCATTTGATGTGTTTACCTCTGTCTAATGGAGTTGAAGATAATTATCCTGATTTTAGGTATGACAATATAATGAAAAAAGAGGATTTCCTTAATAGTGAAGGACAGGGAAGCCTGGTGTGCTACAGTTCACTGGGGTCGCAAAGAGTCAGACACAACTTTTCAACTGAACAACCACCACCAGCGTTAAATTTATGATTGATTTTTTAATCCAAAACACGTATGTTGAGTGCCTGCTCTGTGTCAAATGCTTTCTAGGTGCTTCAGATATACCTGTGTGTGTGTCAGGCTGGGAAAGTCACTGAGTCGTGTCCAACTCTTTGTGACCCCATGGACTATACAGTCCATGGAATTCTCCAGGCCAGAAAACTGGAGTGGGTAAGCCGTTCCCTTCTCCAGGGGATCTTCCCAACCCAGAGATCAAACCCAGGTGTCCTACATTACAGGCAGATTAACAAAATAACAGAGATCCTTACTCTCTCACGATTTCTTAAAAGGAATATTTCACATCTTTCCGATTAATAAAAGCAAAGCATACGGTGAATTTTTTCTTAAAGGGCATTAATCTTATAATCTTGAAAACAAAGTGTTGAGGCAGAATACATACAATAGGCATTTTTATGTAGTGTAACTTTAGCTGGCTTTAAAATGGCACTCGTTGGATTCCTGTCCTTGGAAATAATGGAATGGGTGAAATAGTCTCTCCCCTTGAGGAGAAAACATAGGGGAAGTGACTAACTTGGCAGCTTTCCTGTTGTTTAAAATTAAATGACCCCCTCCCATAGTTAATCCTCCTGATTATGGAATACTAATGAAATAGGCATTTAGCAAGAACAGGGGGAAAAGTCCATGTGTTTGCATTTTATTATGTATGGAAACTTACCATTTCTGGTGAAAGGGTGTCGTCGATCTTTAGTTTCCCCCACAAACCTGACCTCCTTTGTGTCTCCAGCACAGAGGGCAAGTCAGCTCCAGCTGGAGATGTCGAGCGCCTTCAGTTCGTTGTTAAAATCATTTCTTTGGAGAAGTATGTGATCAACATATAACAAACCAAACTTTTTTATTAAGAATGTAAACACTGATAAAACCATTTGCTGAAATGTAAGAACACTCTCAGCCAGTCAGCCAAGTAAGAACTAATTTGAAGTTCCAAATTCAGTTTCTCGTTCCATCAGAACTCCTCAGGGAAGTGTGGTCCTGGGTTCTTGAAGGATGGGGCCTTTAGCTCTGAACTTTTATCTCCTGACGACAGTGTGATAGTAACTGCATTCCCCAATGGCTCAAGTGGTAAAGAATCCACCTGCAATGCAGGAGATGTAGGAGACATGGGCTTAACCCTAGGTCGGGAAGATCCCCCAGAGAAGGAAATGGCAATCCACTCCAGTGTTCTTGTCTGGAGAATCCCGTGGACATAGGAGCCTATTGGGCTACAGTCCATAGGGTTGCAAAAAGTTGGACATGTCTGAGCACATATGTGCAGCAGGGTCCCCAGGAATTTGTCACTCCATTTCTTGGAACAGCAGGATATGAGTGCCCCCTCTCTTCATTGCTGTGAGGTTAAAATAATAGGTAATTATTTTTTTCAGTGTGGGGTTTATATAATTTGACTGCTTCTCAAATTATACAAACCAGCTTTGATCAATTTTGAAGCAAAAAAAAAAAAAGAAACTGAAGATCTTTGGCTTTAATATTTCTGGAGAAAAAGTCTTCCAAATCTTTCCATCTATCTTCTGTTATTGTTCTAATATTTACCTAGATTTTTTACCCAGTTAATTAATACTGAATTGCTTCACAGTAGCAAGAAAATTCATCATCACGTATTTCAGTTAATGGTGTCAGCCACCTTTCACACAGATAATGTTGATCATCATAAAGGTATCCCTTAGGTAAATTTAGAATTTCCAAATGAGATTAGTTATCTAAACAAGCCCCCAATAATATTATTGTACATTATTTAATTACTGTACTCTCAAATGTTAATTTCAGAGAAAGTTATTCATTGAAGCCTTTGGGAAAATATTAATATTATGTATGTCTTTAACGTATTGTTTTCTCCTAGTCCATCAGCCTCATAGAAAGGGGAAATCCATCCAGGAGCCTGGAGAATGTGTGTCGCTGGGCTTGCCAACAACAAAAATCTGATCCTAATCACTCTGAACACCATGATCATGCAATTTTCTTAACCAGGCAAGACTTCGGACCTGCTGGAATGCAAGGTATTTCCATTACTATGTAGCAGAAAAACTTAAGGGCATGACTTTTCAAAAGTACAACTGAATCACTGTGCTTGTACACCTGAAACTGACACAACAGTATAAATCAACTATACTACAACATAAAATAAAAAATCTTTAAATTAAAAAAAAGAGCAATCCTGAATCAGGGAGTCTGTTCACATGTTCACATCTTCACCATCACTTTCATCTTTGTCTCAGCCAAGCATACATTTGCTTTCTGCTTCCAGTGACTTCTGTGGAATTCACAATGTTAAATGCCACCTAAATACCATGATATACTATGCTCTCCTTTACAATAATGGGTGTGCATTTGGTGTACAGAGGGACTGCTATAAAATGCAGTGCAATTTCCACTGAGTGTTTGGAAGGGGAAAAGAGGTGCCATGGGAAATGTCTGTTGCCGAAGAACTTGCTTCCAAAGTCAGCTTATGTCTATCTATCTAATAAACTTTGATGTAGACTTCAAAAAAAAAAAAAGATTAGACTGACCACTTTCTTTTCAACGTTGATGGAATCTCGGGCTCCCTTCGTCAGTACCATGATTTGAAGGAACATTCACCACAGCAGAAAGGTAGGGCTTAAGTTGGTGGGCAGAGCAGAATGGTAACCCCAGGCAGTTCTGTCCCTTAGCAGAGGAGAAAATTGCAGACCCAGTGAATCCTTTCAGAGGCCCATTACCTGTGGCTTTCCCAAGAGAATGTGGCATGATGCTAGCAGTGAAATAATACTGCCTCTGTTTCCTGAAAAGCTTTCTTCTTTTTCCCTCGGCAAAGGTCCAGTAGTAATTCTTAATGGGTTTTCTCATAAAATGAAAATAAAAGTAATTGTTATTCTCTACAGGATATGCTCCAGTCACAGGCATGTGTCACCCAGTGAGAAGCTGTACCCTGAATCACGAGGATGGTTTTTCATCTGCCTTTGTAGTAGCACATGAAACTGGCCATGTGTAAGTCACTGTTGACAGCTATAGAGACTGGGGAAAAAAACAAGGTCTTTTCTTTCTGCCTCTCTCAGTATTGTTCATACTTTGGGCAGAGCACATGCCAGCATGCAACTCTCACCCTCTTGCCAAGTTTGAGGAGCTGAAAAGAGTGAAGAGGTCATGCACGGAAACCAAATGAGTGACTGGCTTGCAGAGACACTCGTGGGCTTTTTGTAGCTATAAGAACAAGAGAGGCATTTCTGCCAGATTGCTCCCAGTTTCACAGTGTCTGTGACTCCTCCACAAAAGCCTTGTTAGCTTAAAAAAAATACCTATTTCCATGTACTTATTTTCAAAACAGAAATTATGCCAAAGCCGTGGTCTCTATGTTGATTCTTACCAGTGAGGTCTCACTCTGTGTTCTAGGTTGGGGATGGAACACGATGGACAGGGCAACAGGTGCGGTGATGAGACGGCTATGGGAAGTGTCATGGCTCCCTTGGTGCAAGCCGCGTTTCATCGTTACCACTGGTCCCGGTGTAGTGGCCAAGAACTGAAAAGATACATACAGTATGTCTCCTTCTTCGTGTCATGAGAACGTTACAGTAGAAATACAGACGTGAAACTGTGTCTTAGGACATTGATCATAATCGAACTCCCAGTGAATGAAAACTCTTGTTCATGATAAACATTTTCTTGTGACTTAGCTTTTGGCACAGTAATCCCATAATGTGATTGTACTATTTGAAGCCGTAAGCCTAGACTTGAAGTGAATTTTTTTAACTGTGATTTCCTTCCAGTAAATTCTCTGTGGGGTCTTTGACTAATGGTCAAAGTTGATTTGAGAATGAAGAGAGGGTGGTCACACAATGCCTGCTTCGGCTATACCACCTGTACCCCATAGGGTGGATGTCAGGATCTGCCCTGCCACACCATGGGGGTTCAGCTAGGGACATGAACAAGGTTGTTACAGTTCTACTGTGTTTTTGAGTATGCTTGGCTTATTTTCCTGGGAAGAATAAAGATGAATGGTCTCTTTCTAAATGGAGCTGAAACCAAAATCCTTAAAAGATATGCTTTCATGAACTTGCTTTTTGATCTGATGAAATTCCAGAGTATGTAACCTAATAATACTTTCTCACTGAGACATGATAAAAAAAAAATGAACATTTAGCTGTATACAATATTTTCCTTCCTCCAGTTCCTATGACTGTCTCCTTGATGACCCATTTGAACATGACTGGCCCAAACTCCCAGAACTTCCTGGAATCAATTATTCTATGGATGAGCAGTGTCGTTTTGACTTTGGAGTTGGTTATAAAATGTGCACTGCGGTACGTTACAGTCAATTTAGATTTTTGCATCTTAAAATCTGTTTGCGTAGCTCCTGTTTGGTGACCTTTACAGATTCACTGGTGCAAGAATATGAACCAATGATTTGTGTTTTCTATGTCTTTACATGCTAAAGCTAAGTGCTTTAAATATACTATCTTATTTAATCCTTGTGACAGGCTAGAAGGAAGTTGGTATACTTTTATTTTACAGATAAAAAAGCCAAGACTTACAGAGGTTATGCAACTTTCTTAAGTCACACACCTGGTAAATGGGGCTTCTTATATGTTAGAGGAAGCTTTATGTGTTAGAGCACGGAAAAATGTATTTCACTGAAACAAGTTGATCTGCTGTTGAAATTCTGCCTTTTCAGATACACATACATCGCTATTTGGTTTGCCTGTAAGATATACAGTCAGTTCCTGTTTTCCTGCGTTAATGTTTTAACCTGAGAATTCTAAAGCTCTGGCTCAGTATTGTAGAAAATTACAATTTCTGCATTAAGTAATAGGAATTAGAACAAAAAACCCAGATCGAAAATGAGCACGAATTTTAAAAGAAAGCTATGACGGAGTTTCCCTGGTGGCTCAGTGCTAAAGAATCTGTCTGCCAATGCAAGAGACATGAGTTCGATCCCTGGTCCGGGAAAAACCCACATGCCTCGGAGCAACTAAGCCCATGTTCCACATCTATTAAGCCTCTGCTCTAGAGCCCGAGAGCCACAACTACTGAAGCCTGTGCACCCTAGGCCCCTCACCCCACAGCAAGAGAAGACACCGTGATAAGAGGCCTGTGCATCACAACTAGAGAAAAGCCAGTGCAGCAATGAAGGCCAAGCACAGCCATAAATAAATAGCGTTAAAGAAAAAAAAGAAAGCTATGACGATAAGACTGTATGTGGATGATTAATGGTATGAGTGTGTGTGCCCAGTCATGTCTTTGCTTTGTGACTTCATGGACTGTAGCCCGCCAAGCTCCTCTGTCTGTGGAATTTTCCAGTCCAGAGTACTAGAGTGAGTTGCTGCTTCCCACTCCAGGGGACCTTCCCTACCCAGGGATCAAACCCGCATCTCTTGCCGTCTCCTGCATTGCGGGTGGATTCTTTACCACTCTGCCACCTGGGAAGCCTAATTAATGGCATAGGGAAAGAATATGTAGATAAACTGGCATTTGATATATAGGTTTATTTTTTAAATCTGAAGAATGATAAGAAATTTACTGTTAGAAGATGAGGAAACAGTACACACAAATATGTGTGCTTACATATACACTTGGATATTATATAATATAGTGATGATGTTTAGGAAAATAAAAAACATTCTTAAGATGAGAAAACTAAGATGCTGATCTGGCTCTATGACTGTTTGGTTTGTATCCATAACTATAGTCTTACCTTATAACCCATATTTCTCAGCCATGGTATGAAGATCAAATATATAGAAAATACTTTATAAAAACATGAATGTATTGTGACATTTTGTTACACCTGGAATACAGTATCTTACATGGAAAGTTTGATAGATATTTTCTGCTTTTAATGAGCTCATGATGAGCATTTTTATTTTTTATATCTGACGGGTTCATACATTCAGGGATAAAGAGAAGCCATTTTGATGGCTTGAGAGCTGCAAAACTGCTACGACACTTTCATATTTACAATATTTGTAATAATTACTCACTCTTTAAACATCAGAAAACCATAAGATAGAAATGGCATGCAGAATAGTAAAAGTCAACTGGAGAACCAGACTCATTGTTCACCAGTGTTCTTTTAGAAGAGCAGAATAAAAGTATTCTTTACTTGGAATTCTTGGCCATGTTTATTTTCTTAACATGCTACAACTTTGACTATTACTTTGAAATTAAAATATCCAAGAAACATGACATGAAGAAACTATAGCAGGTATTATCGGTACAAGTCATTCCATCTCTACCTCACTCAGAGTTTGGTTTTTCTCTTTTCCAGTTCCGAACATTTGACCCATGTAAACAGCTTTGGTGTAGCCATCCTGATAATCCCTACTTTTGTAAGACTAAAAAAGGGCCCCCACTTGATGGAACCGAATGTGCTGCTGGGAAAGTGAGTATAATCTGTTTATACAGTAAAGATTTAAGATATGTTGCATAAGAATCATCTTTAAAATGACATGTATCGTCACCTTTAAGAAAACTATAGGATGCGAAGTTTCACTGTGGTAATGCACGAACATCATGTACTAGTTTTCTAGAGGTGCTCTAGCAAATTACTAACAAATTACCAGAGATTGGGTTAAAACAACAATTATTCTCTCAGTTCTGGAGGCCAGAAGAACAAAGTTGGTTTCACTGAGCTGAAATCAGCGTGTGGGCAGAATGGCCCTTCCCCCAGAGGCTCTCGTGGACAACCTGTTCTTGGCTCTTCCAGCTTCCGGTAGCTGCCTGGGTTCCTAGACTTGTGGCTGTGCCACCCTAATCTCTGCATTTGTGCCCACACTGCCCCCTCTCTTCTGCGTGTCCGTTTCCCTCTGCCCCTTTCTTATAAGGATACATGTGATGGCATTTAGGGTTCACCTGAATAATGCAGGGTAATCTCCCCATCTAAAAATTCTTATGTAATTACATGAGCAAAGGCTGTTTTCCAAATAAGGTAGCATTTACAGATTTTAAGGCTTAGGACTTGGCATCTTTGGGACCACTGTTCAGCCCCCGACTGATAGAATAGGAAGCGGCCGCTCAGTGGAGTGTCTGGGCTCTAATGGGATTTGATTTACTTGCTGGCATCACACTTCTTGTGAAAGCTGTCCAGAAATAAAGTCATGTGAACTTAGACAGAAGATTTGGCCTTGCTCCTTGGGGAAAGATGCCCAGAAGTTTTCAATCTCAAGTTGTGTAGTGAGGATTCAATGCTCAGAAACTGGCCCAGTGCCAAGCTTCACTACTCATGAGGGGAAAGATCACGAAACCCCAGACAAAGGCATGTTGAGAACTCACGTTGAAGGGCTTTGACTAGTTTGGAAATAAGATGTTGTAGATAGGACCAAAACCTGGCAAAGAAGGTTTATATAGTTTTTAGTTCTTTGAAAGCCCTTTAAGGCTCTATTTTAAATGTGTATAAACTGTCCTTGCTCTCAGAATTGCATACATAATAGTAATAATAAAATCTGTCATTATTCATGTTTAAACTGTTAGGAATTATGCTAAACTCATAACATACAGCATGTTGCTTTGGGAAAATTTGGTATTATGGCTTAATGACTAAAAAAGCAAAAGCAGCGATGAGTTGATTCATTTTTGCTTTATGCAAAAGATATCCTCTAAACCAAATCTAGGCATCCAATGTCCTTAAATATATTTGTGTTATGTTTAAATTTCCCAAAGTTGAGTTTTAAGAAACACTTTTATTGTGTGTAGAAGAAAAACATGAATCAAAATGTTAGAAAGGAAAAGAACTAATGCCTTTTGAGTGTCTGCTGTGTATTGGGTACTATAAACTCTATGTCTCTACAGTATCTGTGTTTTAGTATTCCCCACTTAGTTCCTCTGGTCAGAGGGTCTTACACTATACATGGTCCTTTCCGGGCCCCAATTTCCTCATCTGAAAAGTAAAGATAATATATCTGACCTATCTATTTCTTAGAATCATTGTGAAAGCTATATATGTTTTAGATATATTAATTGTTTTCAAAGTTAAGGCATGTCATTTCCTGTTATTATTTAAAGGAGAGCATATTGTCCTTAAAAAATTCCAATAATATGAATAACAAGGGATGAAGGGTAGACTAGCACCGACTGTGCAAATTAAGTGCTCAGATCTCCTTATTAATTATAGTGTTTGATACTCGCTGATAAATGGGTCATTTAAAAACTTGTCTGAATTAATGTTATTCTTAATTTTAATTTTATACTTAAAAATGCAAGTCTAAATTACCCAGGTCCCCATATTGTTATGATTACTTTGGGATGATTTTAAGTGTATTTTCACCTGAAAAAGAAATAAAAAAGAAAGGAAGTCTTTCACTTGGTGGTCCTTGTATAACAACTTTAATTTTAGCACGTGCACAAAATTTCATAATTGTTTTTGTCATTTTCCTAAGTGGTGCTATAAAGGCCATTGCATGTGGAAGAATGCTAATCAGCAAAAACAAGATGGTAACTGGGGATCCTGGACCAAATTTGGCTCCTGTTCCCGGACATGTGGAACTGGTGTGCGCTTCAGAACACGCCAGTGCAATAATCCAACGTGAGTGTACCTCCTATCATGCACATCACTTGGGAACAGACCAGAAAATGCTTCAATATTATGCCATTAATGTTCAGTTTCACAAAGTAACATGTAAAACACAGACCATGAAAACTAAGCATTTAAGTGTCTATTTTGGGTAAATCCCCAGGAATCCATCTAGTGAAGAGCAGTCCGTGATTAAGGTTAGAGATTGTTAAAGAAATTGCATTTGAGGAGGCTCTGGAACTGAGCAGGGAAAGCAGATGACTGCGTCCTTAGCACTGGGCACCGAGGCTGTGAGACCCGCTCTAGGAAGCACAGGCCTGTCGGCAGAAGCAGCACTAACCACAGAGGCTCCCTCACTTCAGAGTCAGGAGAGGAGTGCTTCAGAGCCGAGCCACGAAGACAGTGAAAGAAAGACCGAGGAACTGTTGGGGGCAAGGTTATCCATTTGTCCTCCCAGAGGAAATTTTTGGAATCCCTGTTGTGTGCTTAGCAAATATTATTTTCTGCAGGGGGAAAAAAAAACCAACACTGAACTATCAGACTTATTAGGACAGTCTTCCTTGTGTAGGGTTTGACATTTGGCACCCATTTTCTTTGTCTGGCAGCAGGATGGCTCTGAGCATATCTTTGTACAAAGACCGAGGGTTACCCTGTCTGTTTCACAGGAAGAGATGATGATAGTATTCACAGAAGCAGTAAAAATTATAGTAGTAGGAACAGCAAGGGCTCACCACATGCCACACTCTTTTCTAACTGTTTTAAACACAGTAACTCATTTAATCCTTGCAGTTTTTCTCTAAGGAAGATAGGATTGTTGTTTGCATTGGATGTATTCAGAAACAGGCATAGAGCCATGATTAATGTTTCTTTGGGTTGCAAATACATGTTTTATGCATGATAAAAATATAGAATTTTCCTGAGACCATATGCCCGTTTGTTGTTTCTTTATATACTTTTTTGTGTGTTTAAAATATATTGTTTGAAAGAATACACTGTTTTAAAATACACTGACTTGAGTTTGGGGCTTCCTCCAGCAAACCCTAGCAGGGAGAAGACAGTGCTTTGGAAAAGGGATTGAAATTAGGAAGTATGAGTGCATTCACTGGGCTGGCAGCTCAGAAGCTCTGGCTCTCTGCCCTCCAGCACTGTGCCTGGAAGCTTCAGCCACTGGACCAGAGCCAAAAGGCCTTTCTCAATGTTGTCTTTTCTTTAGGCCCATCAATGGTGGTCAGGATTGTCCTGGCGTTAATTTTGAGTACCAGCTTTGTAATACAGAAGAATGCCAAAAACACTTTGAGGACTTCAGAGCCCAGCAGTGCCAGCAGCGTAACTCCCACTTTGAATACCAGAATACCAAACACCACTGGTTGCCATATGAACATCCCGACTGTGAGTTGACACCCACGCTTCTCCTGCTGTGTGGACAGTTACTTAGAGCTTAAGCTTTGCCAACACACAATCGCTTGGACTCTCGATCCCCACTTGGTAATTTAGGAAACTTGGTGCTTATAGGGGTGAGTCCTCCTGGGTTTCCAAGAATAAGGCTAATACACTCCTTTCTCTAGAGAGGTGAGAATTATGGAATAGTTCCTGGCAGGCAGTACAGCCACCATCACTATTGAAAAGACTAGTGGAAAGCAGTGCCTGGGAGAGATGCTGAGTTTCCTCATGCAACTGAAATCCCTCTACTAGAAAATGTTTCTGTAATATTGTGATCTTTCTTTCTGAACAACTAGAGAAAATACAGTTATTTTACAATCAAGTCAGGAACAAGACAAAGACCATTATTGAATAACAAAAGGCACTTCATAACCTTTTACTTTTGTCGTACATTAGTTATTAAGAAATACACTGGGAAATTCCCCTATCGTGTTTCACTCCTTAGCCCTGAATTTTCAGTTAAATCTGTTCAGATGGGAGCTCCTTGACATATGTCTTATTTGGGTGAATACACTGCTGAGTTCAGTTTAAACCTGTTTTAAAGGAAAGATGCACTTGTGGAAGAATTCAGAATTGCAATGCATTATTTTGATTAATTTGAAGAAAATGAGTTGCATGAATTAGATTTAATTAATGAGATCCTACAAGAAGCAAAAACTGTACTAGGCCACTGGGTCAAACAAAAGAGAAACCTTTTCAGTGCTCTAAGTGTTACTAAAACTAAATTGATTTTGAATGAAATTTATTGAGTAACCATGGTTAAATCTAGGGTAGCCATAGATCCTGCGTTGTATGGGGCCAGTCATACCAGTTTATATTGTTAGGGGCTTCGCTAGTGGCTCAGATGGTAAAGAATCTGCCTGCTATGCAGGAAACCTGGATTCTCCCTTTGGGTTGGGAAGATCCCTGGAGAAGGGAATGGCCACCCATACCAGTATTCTTGCCTGGAGAATTCCATGGACAGAGGAGCCTGGCGGGCTACGGTCCATAGGGTCACAAAGAATCAGACATGACTGAGCAACTAACACTTTCACTTTCATTCCTTTCTGTATCATTAATAGAGCTCCTTTTCACTATCTGAATTATCCCAGTTTAGATGACAAATCATAGGGTCACCCTGATTAAAATAAATATGCCAAGTACGCGTACTTTCCCCCCCACTCTTTATTTATTTATACAATTTGTTTCCAGGAAGTCGTGTTGAAACTGTATATTTTAAAAACAAACTATACTATTCAAATGTACCATTTTGCATAAATGATTGGCTTAATCCTCCATCTTATACAGCCAAGAAAAGATGCCACCTGTACTGTCAATCCAAAGAGACTGGAGATGTTGCTTATATGAAACAGCTGGTGCACGACGGAACACGCTGCTCCTACAAAGACCCGTACAGCATATGTGTGCGTGGAGAGTGTGTGGTGAGTTCAGGTTGCTTCCACCAAAGCTTCCTACAATATTGTGCCATTCCCCTTTTCTTCTCATTCAGCGGCATATTTTCAGAATTGTTTTTAACTCTTTCTTATGTGAGATTACATTACGATGAGGAGTCCATGAATAGTTCAGTAGCTCAACTAAATTTGGAAGAAATTGCACTTAATAAAATCAAACTTTGGTCACCGGCAAAATCAATATTTGATTAGTTTTTCTCATTTCCAGTCAAATGCATATCGGGGGTGGGGGGTGGTCCTGAGGCCTTAGGACTGGGAATACAACTGGAACCATGCCTTTGCTTTGAGTATTTTATCCTAGCCATCCCCTAGTCCAATACCAAGTCTTTTTTTTAAATTCAAGGCAAAATGTGCTTTATCATCTGTCTCACCTTCCAATTACTTCTAACTTTAAATACTAAATTCCACATCAGGACAAAAGTACTAGTGAAGATGCAAAAGCTTTTTGTCCGTTCAGTCTTTTCTTATGCCATTTATTTCTTGTCCATGTTCACAAGTTAAAATGATAAGGAATTATCTCATTAACTGAACATATTGTTGCTGCTTGATTTCTTTTGACCTAGGTACAACTAAGGTGTTAATATAAAAAAAATCTCAAATATGCGACGCCTCATAGTTGAGCTAAAATTTCCCTGAAAATAGAATTTGTGTTTTGTTCATCTTTCACCTCCCACAGTATCGGGGAGTGCGTTAAGTATATATGTGTCATCATTTTCTCTGCTCACTCTCATCTCAAACTTACAAGCGCAGAATCATCATTGCCCAACAGCAATTCACATTAAAGATCCACCCCAGTTGGGCTTCCGTGGTGACTCAGTGGTACAGAATCTGCCTGCCAATGCAGGAGACACAGGTTTGATCCCTGGGTTGGGAAGATTACCAGAAGAAGAAAATGGCAACCCATTCCAGTATTCTTGCCTGTGAATTCCCAGGGACAGAGGGGCCTGGCAGACTTCAGTTCATGGCGTAGCAAAAGAGTTGGACATGACTACCACTAAAACAAACAAGCAGAACAATTGTTTTCTGAACCCACTTTCCACAAACGGATGACTTCCTTGGCTTTGTCTGAATCCCTTTGCATTCTTGAATTGCCTTCTGCATCCCCTGTTCCTTCAAGGTACTTTGAAAATCTCACCGGTGATGTTTTGTCTCACATTTCTTACCAACTTGTAAAGTTTGTACTAATGGACAATTCTCTATTTTGATTTTCTTCTTTATAAATATGAAGGCAACCAGGGAAAAACACATCCACATCTTAATTTTTGTCTCCTCAGCATCAGCTACAACATCTATGTTCAATAAATGTTTGATGATTGAATACATATGATAGGAGAAACACTTCATTAGACTGAGGGAAATTTATCCTTTATAATTACCCAGAGTACAAGTCATTTGATTTTATAATAGTTCTTTAAAAGACCAAGATATTAAAAATTAGAGTTAGAGAGGGCGTTTGGTGCCTGGCTGTGGGCTCATGATGGAACAAATGGTGTATCATGCTCCAGTGTGTTAACCTTTACTTGCTTGGCACGTTAAAATGAGCTACATCTAATATCTTCTCTCCCCAGAAAGTGGGCTGTGATAAAGAAATCGGTTCTAACAAGGTTGAGGATAAGTGTGGTGTCTGTGGAGGAGATAATTCCCATTGTCGAACTGTAAAGGGGACATTTACCAGAACACCCAGGAAGCTTGGTAAGATGAGGTTCTCATGAATTCAGTATCCATGATTTGCCTTTTTTTAGACTTCGTTTAGGAATGCACCATTTTCTCTATAAACACACACAAAAAAATTAGCTGCTGATTTATTTTCATCCAGATTACCTTTTAAGAAATCATTGAAATAACTGACAATTCATACTCTATAGCATCCATGATGAAAACCTATCTACTAAATTTAGATAAGGAACAAATTAAAACAATATCAATTATAGTAGTTAGTTAAAATATGTGTTCTGTTTAATTTTGTGTTTTTAATAAAATGTATTAGACCTAATTATTAGAATTAATGCTTATTTTGGATTTTCTGTTGCACATAAATTACTGATCAGAAGTTAAAAATATTCAAAACTTTAAATACAACTTTTAAAATATTACAGTCACTTTGCTTCTTTTAAAAGTGAATAAGTTTATCCTATTTATAAAACTATAAATCTTGGGTTCGTATTTCACATAATATTTATAATTTCATATTAAACGAGTTTGAGGTACGTGTAACCAAAAATAACCTGAGCTATATAATTGCTTATGGGTGTGAATTTCTGTTCTTGTTACACAGTCAATGGCCTAGACTTAGTCATATGATGAAGGTTCATCAGAAGGAACCAAAAGCAACAAATAATATGCAACATTATTAGTGTTTTCATAATTTTACGTTGGAATTTTCACAAAAGATTTAGATACAAACATGGATTACTGAATGATTTCTTTAAGTTTGGAACAATTATTATTCAGTTATTCAGCAAACATTTATTGAACAAATGTTTGTCAGAATTCAACGTTTAAAAATAAATTTAATGTGAGGCTTCCCTTGAAAAGCTTCTCTTACATCCAAGATATGGTCTCTCACAAAATAATAGAAAACAAGATAAAACAAAACAAGGACAAAGATTTGGTTTACATTGAACACGTTGTCATTGCGGTAATTTTTCCTTTTAGAAAAATAAGAAAGTATAAAAAAAAACCTAGTCTTTATCCAAATGGAGTAATTCTCTTAGTTCTTTTTACTCCCATTATCCCCTAGTCACCCACCTCAAGCCATTTCCACACATATCATCTTTGCCCTTTGATATATTTAGAGCCAGGCAGAGGTAGGTGACTATATTCTAACATATTCTAATGTGTTTTTCTTAGGTATTCCCTCCTCTAGTTACTGATATCTTTGCTATTTCTCTGTGATAATTTACTATAGTTTGTACTTTGAAAATTATAAAAAGCAAATATTGCCATTTCTGGCTGATGGTATTATTTTAATAAGCAAACAGAATTATAATTATATACATAAATTATATACATTTAGTAGAGTAACATGATTTTCTCCATCTTAATGTGAAATAATTTATTGTGCTTTATTGCAGTTATGAATTGTTCATTTAGGTGTAAAATAATTTTTTCTTATTTCCAGAGTGAATATATGTAGACAAAATGGTTTTTCACCATTGTTATCCATTCTATATTATATGTAATAAAAGGTAGTGATACTTTTTTTTTCAGATACCTCAAAAATTATGCTAAACCTCTGAATTAAGTTCAGAAGAAGAGAAGAAAGCTTTCAGACTGTTCCAAGATAATCTAACATTCATCTCTTTGCACTAATGTTATCATCATAGTTATTCAATAGACTAATTAACCTTTTCCAACAGGGAAAAATTTAAGCAAGAGATGCCATAAAGAACTCAAGTTGCTGGAAAATGAAATCTGCAAGTATTCGACTTCAAATCACCTATATCATTTCTCATTCATGCTTAGTCTTACTTTCATTGACTATTAACAGTTTACTGGCATTAGCTAACTATTATAAATGCATTTTGACTTCAACAGATACAATTATGAAACATATTTTATATGTTACCTAATAAAATTATACAAAGCTTATAGTATAGTCAATGAAACAGCAAGACTTGGATAAACATGAACTCTCTACTAATTAAAGACGTTCTATTTAAGGGAAGACAAGAGGAGCCTTCACTTTACCCAAAGGAGCTCGTAGTGTTTCTCTTGCTGAAACAAGGGAAGCTAAAAATGTATTGGGTAAGTTGTAGCAAACTGCAGAAAGATGGGCATCCATAAATGGCATCAAGCTGTTTTGCTACCCTTGGTATCTTAACCACATTACTTCCAGCTTATGATACTCAGGCAAACATGGTACATTTCATGTACTGAATATCACTCAGGCTCAGGTGCTGAAAACCCTGACCCCAAAATGACCACTCCACTTAGTTAAGTGAAAGTGAAGTCGCTCAGTCGTGTCCGACTCTTTGCGACCCCATGGACTGTAGCCCACCAGGCTCCTCCATCCATGGGGTTCCCCAGGCAAGAACACTGGAGTGGGTTGCCATATTATTTAAAAAGTCAGGTAAATCTACCTATAGGTAATCATTGTCCATTTAGAAATGACCAAAAAAACAGGTTTCTTTCTGATTCCACCAGCAATTTTGTATTTATAACTGGATTTCTGTCAATACTTATAATGTATGAGTTATAGGTCTCATAATGTAATGAAGGTATAAGTTGCATAATCTTCCTATATTCATTTTTGATAGAAACAAGAAGAAACATTTTGGTTTCTCTATTTGCCCTGACTACTGTTGATTTATAGTTAGGACCTTAATTCTAAATGATCTTCAGATAATTTTCCAGTTCAGTTAAGATAATTTTTAGGACATGTGATAATACTAAGAAGGTTTATTAGATAGAACAATAGGACCTTAAAACCTAAGACAACCTATTAAGCATTTTGGTTTGCAGTTTCTCAGAAGATTGAACTTAGGGTCAGTGTAAAGGCAATGCAGATGTTTTCCAACCAGTCTATAAAATATATTTTACAACATTGCCATTTAAAACTGTGTAAAGCTTTAAAAGTGGTTGCTGATCACAATCTAAATGGAAACTACTCACTGGTTTTTCTTTTGTAATTTCTTTAGACTGGAGCAGGCTTTTAAATCTGAAGCTATTTCATTAATTAGAAGTTTAGCTGTCTATCCTTGCTGCTTAGACTTTTAAAATAATATATAGACCAATAAAATATCTCAAGAAATTCACCAACTAATCACACTTTAAATGAGCCCCTATTCAAAAGGATGATTTAAAAAACTAAAGTCACATGGAGGGACACAGGAGAGTATAGTATTATATTTGCCTGAATTATTGTTGCCACAACTTGTAGGTCAGCACAAAATAAGTGACTAGTGTGTTAGAAACAAGACTAATTTTTTTGTCAATTTAATAATTAAAAAGAAAAATATGCCTCTGATCCTGTGCCAGATGTCACAAAATCTGCCAGTGCTTTGAAGTTAATTTCGGAAACTGCTTTTTTCGGTTTATGGATGCCTTCTTCTGCACGCAGGAGCCGTAGGAACGTAATGCCTGACTAACCGTGGTTGTTGCTTTTGTTTTCTTCTTTGCTTCCTCCAATATTTACTACACATGCAAAGGGTACCTTAAGATGTTTGATATACCCCCTGGTGCTAGACATGTGTTAATCCAAGAAGACGAGGCTTCTCCTCATGTTCTTGGTAAGTGTTTCGGTCTGCTGGCTGTGCTTTAACATGCTCTGAAACGTAGAAATGTCAAAGAAATGATACATAGATATGGATACATGTGTATGTGTGTATCTGTGTCCATGTATATGCATAGGTGTCTATATCTATGTACACACATAGGTCTGCAAGGTTCAAAATTATATATAAATTCATCATTACCTGATTTTCGTTGGTCATGTCTCCCAACTATTCTTTCTTTGCAATGAGAAATATTCACAACTAGAGTTTTAATTTCTGGTGAAACCTGGGTTGGTTCATTAGGACATGAGGGAAAAAATAATTTGATAAGTGTGAATTTGTTATACATTTTTATTCTGTTATTGGGAGACGAAAAAAACCTAAAAATATTAGTAAAATGCACTAAATTAAGGAATAATATCAGAAAAATTTGCCATGTTTATGTTGACAAATTAATTCTGATATTTTGGTTGATGCCATACTGTATGCCTCTTCTTTTAGTGCGTTTTAAGTTCTTTGACTGAAAAGCAACCACATCCAGGTTGTGCTAGTCCAGTAAAAAGTTTCCTGATATCTGTTATGTGTCCAGTTTGACTGGCACATACAGATTCTTTTTCTGCATGTTTTCTATTTATTATCTGCAAATTATCCTGTTTATAATTTCCAAAAGATTTTTTTCCTCCTTTCTACATTAGAAGATTGTGTAGAAATGTCATTCTAGAAGGGTTTATATTTAAAGTGAATGCACAAATGTAAACATAGCTTTCACATATTCCTTGAACCATTAAATCACTAAGAAGATTTCTGAAACTGACACATCTGTCAAACCTATGAAAATGTATAGTAAATTGCTTTTCTAAATACATGTAACTTCAAAGTGTATTGTTTTATGGTGTTTCATGGAATTTTTTCTTAGTATTTAAAATATATTTACTACTAGATTCCAAAACAGCCTCCACTGTCTAGCTGCAGTCCTTTATCCCATAATTGAAATTCCCTACTTTTTATTCCGGAATTCAGATTATCTTTGGAAATATTAGTTTAAAATCTCAAGAGGAATCAATGTATTTAACTAAAATTACTCATGTTTTCGATACATTTTTAGTAATAGTAATAACTTTTGAAATTTTATTTTCTAATATCATTAAATACCAATGTACCTCCAAACTTTAAAATCCCATTTGTTATTTTTATTCATTAGATAAAGCATTTTATTTAATAATATATAGAAAATCTGTAATATATTACAATTTCTGTCACCAGTAAAGAGCTTTTCCTGACCATTTAAGTAGGTAATGTGACCTTAGAATTTTACAGTTGTCAGGATTAATTGCTTGTTGGCCTAAAAATTAGTTCAACAATTTTGAGTACCTCTAATATTTTGACTTAAAATGAAAGAGCTACACAGTAAAAACAAGAAATAATAAAAAGGCATTAGGTTATATGCTGTCCTAGTATAAGTCATTTGTATTACTTGTTGTAGAAGAAGCCATTATTTTAAAAATATTTCCAGCTTCCTGAGGAAACGTATGGGATGAATGAGTTAGAAAGTGTTAACTGCTTTGGCAGTGTTTTTGAATGGGAATATTTGTTAATTTTGATTTTCTATCTCACCATCTCACCATTTGCCACTATTTTTAACTGGTTAGGAAGGCTTCTTGAGAATTTTGAATGCCTACTGAATGAAGTATGAGTCCTATCAGAAGTAACACTCATTTTAATTGCTTTGAATACTCATAAACACGGTCTTTCATTCATAGAAGGGGAGGGACTTAACTGTGAATCTTGAAAGCTGTAATCAGATAAAATGTATGCCGGTTACTCATTTTTCTTTAGCAATTAAGAATCAGGCTACAGGCCACTATATTTTAAATGGCAAAGGGGAGGAAGCCAAGTCAAAGACCTTCATAGATCTTGGTGTGGAATGGGATTATAACATTGAAGATGACATTGAAACTCTTCACACCGATGGACCTTTACATGATCCTGTTATTGTTTTGGTATGTGGCATTACAGGCTCACTGTGTAGTTGGTTTACTTTATATTTTTATAATTAATTTATTTTAATTATTAATTTTATAATTAAATGTTTAATAAATATAATTAATTATAATTAATTTTATTTACTTGCTTGTTTTTAATAACTCCATTTATCCTTCGTCTTTATTCTTTGGGGAACTTTGTCATATATTTTATTATATATATATTATAAACCAAATACAGTATTATGATCTTTGATTTTAGTAATCAGTTATCTTTTAAAGACAAGAAAAGAAAAAATAGATTTTTATATTTACTCACATATTTAGCATTGTTGATGGTCTTCGTTTTTCCTGGTAAATCTGATTTTCCGTTTAGCACCCTTCACCTTTGATATAATGAACTTCCTTTAACATTTCTTGTGCTATGGGTATGCGTACTAGCAAGTTACTCTCTCTGCTTTCAATTCTCTGAAAACGTCTTTATTTCCCTCTCATTCTTAAAGGATATCTTCACTGGCTATAAAATTGGAAGTGGCTAGCTTGTTTGTTTTTTTCTCAGCACTTTAAAGATGTTTTTCTGTCATTGTAAAGAGGTCCAGGAATTTGGGGTCTCATCTAGGAAATAGATGTGACCCTGAGGTGTCAGTAGCACCCAAACATATTTTTCAGATGATGCCTTAGCAGGCTGGCATGTGAGGCCACCTTCAGAAAGAAGACAAGGGCAAAGAAACTTTTGGGGGAGGGGAAACCCGAGAGGGGATTGTGTGTCCCGGTGACGTTGCCCAGCAACACAGCAGGGAGACTCTGGGTTGGAGAGCTTCAGAAGGCAGCAGCAGCAGCTTGGGATCCTGATAACCACAGTCTTATTTATAATTAGTGGATTTGGGGTCCAGTTTCATAAGGGTGTGCAAAGCAAACAGGCTCTGTTCTTCAGCTGCTCAGTCATGTCTGACTCTTTGTGACCCCATGGACTGTAGAACACCAGGTTTCCCTGTCCTTCACTATCTCCTGGAGTTTGCTCAAACTCATGTCCATTGAGTCGATGAAGCCATCCAACCATCTCATCCTCTGTTTCCCCCTTCTCTTCTAGATGGTTAGAAATCTACTTGTTTGGGCTACATTTGAAACAATTGGCCATGTGAAAATCCAAGTTTGGTGCCAGTGGATTTTTGAGCTAATCGGTCTGAACTTGCTGTGTATAAATAAATGACCTAGGGGCCAATATACAGGAGCCATCATTGACTCCTTTATACAACATTTGTCTTCTCGAATCCATTGTTCATGATAAGAAGTAAGCTTCATTTAGGTTGCTGCTGTGCATTTACTGTGTCAATATTCTCTGGATGCATTTTACAATTTTCTCCTTATCTTTTTGTCTTGGATTGGTTTGTAGTTTGACTGTGGCATGCTTACTTTGTGATGTTCTTTGTATGTATCCTGCTTGGGGTTCACCAAGTATCTTGGCTCTATAGATTGATGTTTTTCACTAAATTGAGGTAAATTTTCCATATGTTTTCAAGTTTACTTTTCCCCCATCTCTCTCTTTCTATTCCTGGGATTCATTTACATGTATGTGAAACCAGTTGAAATTGTTTCACGAGACTTGTGAACTCTGTTCATCCTTTTGTAATTGCTGTCTTTTTCCCTATCCTTCAGATTAGATCATTTCTGCTGAACTGTGTTCAAATTCACTGACTGTCTTATGTGATCTCCAGTCTGCCCCTGAGCCCATACAGTGAAGTTTTCATGTCAGATAGTGTACTGTGTTTTCTAGAATTTCCTTTTTTTTTCTTTTCTTATAATTTCCATTTTTCTGCTGAGATATCCATATATTTTCACTCATTATATCCAACTTTTCTTCTAAGTCCTGAGACTTCATATTGCCTGATTTTCTGGGCTCTTTTTTTTTTTCTTGATTATAGTTCACATTTTCACACTTCTTATACTTTTTTTTATTGCACACAGCATTAGAGATGTTAATTTGTCAGGCATTTAGTTTACCTTGCCTTCCTTAAAAGCATTGGGTTTTATTCTGTCTGGCAGTTAATTTATTGTCAGTTTCCGCTGATCCTTGGAGGCTTGGTTTTCCTTTCTGAGGGTTGGCCTATTTCAGTTTTGTTCTTATTCTTAAGTCTTGGCTTTCTGGTGCCTTGACTGCGTACCTGGAGTGTTCGGAGGCCATGAGAGCACCTAGGGCCCTCATCCCTGCCTGCCCCGCGGTACCTGCCCTGCTCCCGGCGCCATGGCAGCCACGCGTTGGTAGATAGCATGGTTTCTTGGCCTGGGGTGCACAGACCAGTCCTCTGTGTAGAAAACCCATGCAGCTTTCTGGATCACCCTCTCTGAAGCCCTTTTTTCTTTAGTGCCCGTGTCTCTGAAAGTCCCAAACTCCCCCCTCCTCAGCTCAGTGAGACACTGACTTGGCTTGGGTTCCTGCTCTCCACACCAGGGTCCAGACCTGGCCCTGTCCAGAAGCCAGTACTTAACACACTACTCTTCTCACTGAGATCATTATCCTTTACTGTGTTATTCACTGCAAGAAGAAACATTCCCTCAAATATTGTATCCAGTTTTATTATTTTTAATATCATGAAGGCAACTCTATTACTTCCTCATGGATGAAAGCAGAAGCCATCATTTTGATTTGAAAAATATTGTTAGATTCTGTATACCAAACCAATATTTATTGGATTCCCTATAAAAATATTATACTAATCTAAAATAAATCATCTCACTAAATTTCAAATCTTTTTTCATTTGAAAATTATTTCTCTTTGATAAAGTGTTCTGATCTTTTGTCCATTATTAAAGTAGGTTGCTTTTTTCTTTTTAAGTTTTCAGAGTTTTTTATATACTCAATATATAAATCCTCTATGAAATGTGACTTTTCAGATATTCTCTTCTAGTATGTAGTTTCTTTTCCTTCTCTTAGTAGTGTTTTTCATAAAAATATTTTAACTCTATTGAAGTCCAATTTATCAATTTTCCCTTTTATGGATCAAGACGTTCTTATTGTATAAGGTTGTTTGTTTCTTTTCCTGCTCCAGGATCAAAATTCTTTTTTTTCTATTTATTGTAACTTTTATGCTGCTGCTGCTGCTAAGTCACTTCAGTTGTGTCTGACTCTGTGCGACCCCATCCCTGGGATTCTCCAGGCAAGAACACTGGAGTGGGTTGCCATTTCCTTCTCCAATGCATGAAAGTGAAAAGTGAAAGTGAAGTCGCTCAGTCATGTCTGACTCTTTGCAACCCCATGGACTGCAGCCTATTAGGCTCCTCCGTCCATGGGATTTTCCAGGCAAGAGTACTGGAGTGGGGTGCCATTGCCTTCTCCGGTAACTTTTATAGTTTTACATTTATCCATTTTAAGTTTGTTAACCATTTAAGCTAATTTTATACACATTTTGTCCACATTAGGGTCTTAGTTTTGTACATGGATGTCCATACGTTATCTATTCTTGCATAACAGATCACCCCAAACTTGGTGACTGAACACAGCAACATTATTATCTCATAGTTTCTCTGGGTCAGGAATCTGGGAATAGCTCCCATGACTAGTTCTGGCTCAGGGTATCTCATGAGGATGCTCTCAGCTGAGGCTACAGTCACCTCAGGGCTCCACTGGAGCGACTCTTCTCAGTTCCCAGCTGAGTCACATGGCAGTTGAAAGCCCTTGGAAGATTACTTCCAAGCTTCTTCACGTGGATGCTTAAGTAGGATGCTTAAGTGTCCTTATCACATGACAGCTGTCTTTCAGAAGTGAGTGATTCAGATGATCCAGAAAGTGAGAATCCAACCAAGACAGAAGTCCATCTTTTTAACCTAACCTTAGAAATGACATCCTTTCACATCTGCTGCTATTTGCTAGAAGCAAGCCACTGGTCCAGGATCCACTGACAGAGAGAATTAAGCTCCACTTCTTGAGAGAGAGAAAGTGTCAAAGGACCTGCACACACATTTTTTAAGCCACCACAGTGTCCAACACCATTTGTTGAAAGCAATGTCCATTCTCCATTAAGTTCCCTTTTCATCTATGTCAAAAGTTAATTACCCAAATTTATGTGGGCTTATTTCTGGATTCTCATTCTGTTCCGTAGGTTAGATAATTTTATAGGAAAATACATATCAATCAAAGTTTATTTAGATTATTTTAAGTTTGATTGGTTGGAGATCAGCAGCTCTATTTTACTCGTATGTAATTACATTGCATTTTTCTCCAGCAGCACAGGTGTCTGGCCTCAGAGCCTTCTTGCAGGGCTTCGCCAATGATATGAGAGTGACCCCAGGGAGCCATGTGTAATTGATACAATCCTGTAAAAACTACATGAAAGTCAATGAAAACTATTTATAAAAAAGAGTGCTTTGCTAGAAAAGTAAAGATCACATAAAAAGCTGAGAATATGCTTGCAAAGTTTATTATAAAAGGATTAATATTTCTATTGCTTGGATTACATGAAAAAATATGTATAACAATAAAATAAAGAGGATCTGACATGAACACGCAATGCATGGTGTTCAAATGCATGGTCACAAAATACAAGTGACCAATAAACTTAGGAAAATTAATCTTTACTATTAAAGATAGTAAATCTTTTGCCCATTCAGTTAACAAAGAGGAAAATGACTTAATACGCAGTGCTGAATGGGAGCACCCTCATATACTCTCATTAGGAAAATAATAATTGTTTTAACTATTCTGAAGGGCCATTCGCTTGGTCTATTATGAGAACTATAAAAAAGTGTTTGTACCCTTTACCACATTAAGGAAAATCAGAAATTATCACAAAAGTAGGGTTAATTTTAATCAAAATATAGATATTAATTTTTCTGACTAAATAAAGTACACTAGGATTAAATGGGCTGCCCAGGTGGAACAGTGGTTAAGGATCCACCTGCCAATGTGGGGGATGCTGGAGACCTGGATTAGACCCATAAGTCAGGAAGATCCCCTGGAGTAGGAAATGATTACCTACTCCACTATTCTTGCTGGAGAATCCCATGGACAGAGGAGCCTGGCAGTCTACAAAAAGGCTCTACAGAGGAGCTTTTTGCAGTCCATGGGGCTGCAAAGAGTTGGCCACGACTGAGCGACTGAACATGCAGACATGCGGTAAGAGTAAACACTATGCTGGCGTTTAGAAATATATTTTCAAAGAATCTTTACTGTCTTGGGAAATGTGTGACATGTTAAGTGAAATAAGCAAGACCAGAAAAGTATGTATGTGTACACATACACACACACACACACACATATGCAAATATCTTGAGGTTCTATCCCAAAATAATAAAAGTGACTTTAGTTTTCTCTGGTTTCGTGGAATTATGGATGATTTTAATTTTCTTTATATTTTTTCATGATGTCTATATTTTCTGGATGGAACATTATTATCTTTATCACCATAACAAAAGTCTACTGTAAAGAGTAATGTTAAGTACACTCAGGAGATATGTAACTTGAGGGACTCTAAATTGAATTTTATTGTATTTTTTTGAACTTCTTAATGTCAAGATACTTTATATATTTGCCTTTTTTCTTAATCAAGACATACCTGTACTTTAGTGATAGAAAGAAAAAAACCTCTATTTTTAGAAACTACTTGAAAGTCTTCCAGTTTTAATAAGATATGTATTCTGAAATATTTGTAATTTTTTCATTCAAATTTAAAACTCAATTTACATATCTATTTCATGTGTACATTAGATTATCCCTCTGGAGAATGATACCCGCTCTAGCCTGACATATAAGTACATCATCCATGAGGACTCTGCACCTACAATCAACAGCAACAATGTCATCCAGGAAGAATTAGATACTTTTGAGTGGGCATTGAAGAGCTGGTCTCAGTGTTCCAAACCCTGTGGAGGAGGTAACAAATTGAACACATTTATTATATTAAAATGTAATTCATATAAAAGCCAATCTTCTTCCTTCTGCCTTAAGGATTGTGTCTAACTGAGGATACAACCAGAGAAACACCAGATATAACCAGAACTTAAATATAAAGCATTTTGACTGAAATCTCAGGATCTACAAATGATAGGAATCCATTCATATCAATAGTAGACCATCTTCAAATTCCTTGGTCCTTCCCCTGTCTTATACCCATGCAGTGGTAACCCTTAGTCACTTTATTCTTTCCTAATTTTCCTAATTCTCCTAATTGTCCTTTGGTTCTTACCTTCCTTCTCCTCCACTTTGACTTTCCATACCTATGCATTGCTTTTCAGCATTAATAATGAAAGAGCTCTTAGTTGCACTATGTACCAGATACGATTTTAAGTGTTTTATATTTTAATGATGAATGGCTCTAAGAGGTTGGTGCTATTTTTACCTCTGTCATACTGATGGGGAAACCGATGCCCAGGGAAGATCAGCACTGTAAGATACACACCCAGGTAGGTAGCCTGGCTTCTTCGTACCTGTTTGTACTGCATTCAGCTACCTGTCTGCTCTCTCTCTGGAGTAGATCCATTAAGCTCATCTCAAAGTTTCTCAGTCTTTCCCATCATCCGTTCCTCTAGTTTGGAACAACAAGTGCTCCACAATGGAGTTAGCCTAGACAGAATTCTCTCATCATAGTAACACTTAATGGTTGAAAACAATAAATTACTCATTATAATAATGAATGCCTGGGTAAATATTTATACTTGTAAATTCAAAGATGTATTTTTTAAAGTTTTTTTCTCTAGAAAGGACATACAATGTTTTTAGATAATTAGTTAAAATGACACTTTAGGTACTTTCTTAGTGGTTCAGTGGCTAAGACTGCACTTCTACTGCAGAGGGCACAGGTTCAGTCCCTGGTCAAGGAACTAAGACACTGTGTGCCACGAGGTGTGGCCAAAAACTAAATAAAATAAAGATGATACTTCGTCTCTCACATAGTGATTAAATTTGGATTCTCCTACTGCATCTGCCTGCAGTACAGGAGACCCGGGTTTGATCCCTGGGCCAGGAAGATCCCCCGGAGAAGGAAATGGCAATCTACTCCAGTATTCTTGACTGGAAAATCCTATGGAAAAAGGAGCCTGGCAGGCGATAGTCCTTGGGGTCACACGAGTTGGATACGACTTAGTGACTAAACCACCACCAACCACCACTGCATCCTCAACATGTACTTGGTGGCAAGATTTTTCAGATACAGCTTTTTAATATCTACTAGATCTATTCCTCCCTCATCAGGTTTCCTTCTTGACTTTGAAAGGGAAGATTATTGCAGAAATCTCTTAACTAGCCAACTAAATTTGATTTTCTTCTCTTCATTTCTAGGTAATTTCTTGACTGAATGAGTAGAATTATATTCCCTGATTCAGATCCTTCTTTCTCTCAATATGTTACCCTCAAGACAAAACATAATTTATGTAATATTCTTGACCAAAGTGAAAACCTGAATTGAACCATTAGGAGACAGATAAACCCAGATTGTGGGACATTTTACAAAACAACTGGCTTATCATCTCAAAAATATTAAAAGACAGAAAGAGATTAAAACTAGTCCTGATTAATTCCATGACAATTAAATGCAATGTGTGATCTTTGATTGGAGAAACATTTTTATAGAGTACATTATAGGGCAATTGATAAATTTTGAATATCATCTTTATATTAGATAATAGTATTATATTTGTGTTAAATATTCTGATTTTAAGAGTATATTGTGGTTATGTGGGAAAATGTGCTTGTTATGAGCTATATGCTGAGGTATTTAGAAGTAAGGAATCAGAATGTTAGCAACTTACTCTCAAAAGGTTCAGCAACATTTTATATGTAAATGTATATGTGGTACTGGTTTAGTTGCTAAGTTGTCTCCGACTCTTGCGATCCCATGGACTGTAGCCTGCCAGGCTCCTCTATCCATGGGATTCTCCAGGCAAGACTATTGAAGTGGGCTGCCATTTCCTTCTCCAGAGGATCTTCCCGACCCAGGAATCGAATCCAGGTCTCCTGCATTGCAAGCAGATTCTTTACTGATACAATCTGTTTATTATATGTTATAATTAATATATATGATATAAAAATATGTATATCAAATATGCTGACATGGTAACAAAAGGTTAATCTCGGTGTAAGGCATATTCATTGTGCTTTCCTTACACTTTTTTAGACTTAAAATTTTCCAAAATTAAAAAATAATATATATATATTTTTTTTTAACATCCAAGTTGGTGCCTGGGGAGACCCTCAATAACTCCCTGGATAAAGTCTAAACATTTGTCTGGCCCACAGGTCTTTTAAGATTGGATCCCATACTTCAGCCATTCAAAGAGTCCTGCAGTTTTCTATGTCATTTCATTTGCTTGGAGTATTATTCTGCTTCATTCTCTTTGTTGTTGTTTAGTCGCTAAGTCATGTCCAACTCTTCTGGGACCCAGACACGATTACTGGAGTGGGTTGCCATTTCCTGCTCCAGGGGAGCTTCCTGACCCAGGGATCGAACTCATGTCTTCTACAGGGGCAAGCAGGTTCTTTACCACTGAGCCACCAGTGAAGCCCATTCCCTTTACTGGTGCTGTCTGAACTTCAGGATTCTGCCCAGGGAAGTGCTGATCTTGTAAACATTCCTTGTCTCTCCTCCAGCTAAGGTAGAGAACTTCCCCTCCTTTGCTGCCCTCTTCAGTCAATTATTGACATAGCTTTGTAGAAGCCTATGTCACTAGGTACGACATAGTTTTCCTATCTGACTATCTTACTAGACTGTATTTCAGGATCTTGTTCATTAACAAGCATGCAGTTGCTATTTAATACCTTATAATATTTATTAAAGGATTTTTGTTGATTTAATTTTTATTTGATTATTTAATTTGCTTCTGGAACTAGAGCACCTAGAACAGTGCCTGGCTCAATAAATACTTGATGAATGAAATGAATGAATAAATGATCAAATAGGTGACAGAATGAATAAATGATTAAATCAAAAATATATTTGCCTTCCCAGGTTTCCAGTACACTAAATACGGATGCCGTAGGAAAAGTGATAACAAAATGGTTCATCGCAGCTTCTGTGAGGTCAACAAAAAGCCAAAACCTATTAGAAGAATGTGCAATATTCAGGAGTGCACACATCCACTGTGAGCATTTATTTTACCTATCCTTATATACCAAGGACAAAATGAAAGGGATTTAAATGTCATTAGCTCTTTTTAGTTTTAATTTTATTTTTAGTCAAAGCTAATATGTGTACCTGCTTACAGTGATCAGATCATTTCACAGGAATTATATAAACCTTTAGTCCTGCGTTTTTAACCATATTTCTGCTTCTCACTTTTACTTCTGCTTCTCCACCTTATTGATGTATAGTTAATTTACAATATTGTGTTAATTTCAGGTGTGCAAGAAACTGATTCCGTTTTTTTCAGATTACCTGACTTTATAGGTTATTACAAGATATTGAATATAGTTCCCTGTACTACACAGTAAATCCTTTTTGCTTTTCTATTTTAGGTGTAGTAGTTTGTATCTCTTAATCCCATACTCGTAGTTTCTTCCTCCTCACCTCCCTTTCCCCTTTGGTCCATACGTTTGTTCTCTATGTGCGTTTCTGTTTTGTTTATAAATTTGTTTGTATGTGTGGGCTGTGCTTAGTCGCTCAGTCATGTCTGATTCTTTGCGACCCGATGGACTGTAGCCCGCCAGGCTCCTCCGTCCATGGGGACTCTCCAGGCAAGAATACTGGAGTGGGTTGCCATGCCCTCCTCCAGGGGATTTTCCCAACCCAGGGATCGAACCCAGGTCTCCCGCATTGCGGGTGGATTCTTTTTTTTTTTTTTCATTTATTTTTATTAGTTGGAGGCTAATTACTTTACATCATTGCAGTGGTTTTTGTCATACATTGAAATGAATTAGCCATGGATTTACATGTATTCCCCATCCCGGTCCCCCCTCCCACCTCCCTCTCCAGCGGGTGGATTCTTTACCACCTGAGCCACCAGGTACTTGACTTTATTTATCCTTCTTGGGTCTGCTGAGTTAATTACCATATATCCAGGTTTCCCTGGTGGCCAAAAGTACCTATGACTGTGAAGTATATGCCTCTCATGTAATACCTATCTTCAAATGAGAGTCACTGTTGAAGTCTTCAAAACTGAGTGAACTTTCTCAGTTGCCACCATTCATTCTTACTGTCAGTTGACAAACCAGGGCAATCTTAAACTCTGAAGAGCAAAAACTGCCAAGGTTTTACCTTGCTTACATTTTGGTGCTGCATATATGGGCTTCCCAGGTGGCTCAGTGGTAAAGAATCTGCCTGCCAATGCAGGAGACACAGTTCAATACCTAGGTTGGAGAAAAAATGGCAACCCGCTCCAGTATTCCTGCTTGGGAAATCTCATGGACAAAGGAACCAGGCGGACTATAGTCAGACCTGACTTAGTGACTAAACAGCAACAACAACAAGCTCCGTATATACAGAAATTCTAAAAAATGCAGAGAGAAAGTAACTTTGGAAAGGACAAACAGTATGCTTCCACTACATTCTGACAGATTGATTAACTGGAGGTAATCAATGGTGACAACCCTTTGGGATATATGTAATGAAGAACTGTCTGTAATAGTGTATCCATAGCTAACTTGGAGAGTGCTGGGACACTGACATTGAATTTGGATGTGTAATTTGGGAATGTCCCCTAGGAAATCGTTTTTAAAATATCTGCTTGGAAATGTTTCTATCAGGTACATTCATGGAAGCGGTTTCTGCTGAGGCACACAACTTTTATCAGGTTAATAAGGGCCTATATGGAGAACAAAATTTTTCAAACATAATGGATATGTCAGGTAGCCTTCACAGCAACAACCATAGAGATGGAACAGTAATCTCAGAATATTAAAACATGAGTAAAGTCATGAAGTAATGAAAAAGCAGTAGAGTCAAATCAATTTGTCATGGCAGGGATCAGATGGACCCTTTTTATCTTTTCTTTGAGATATTTAACATCCTGAGGCAAAATAAGTTCATTGGCATCATATTTTTAGATTCCACATATAAGTGATATATGATATTTGTCTTTCTCTGACTTACTTCACTTCCTATGATAATCTCCAGGTCCGTCCATGATACTGTGTATGGTATTATTTCCTTCTTTTTTTGATGAGTAATAGCAATCAGTAGACCACATCCTGTTTAGCAGTGGGGGCTAGTTTTGAAAACTACCATCATGCCTGAATCTAAGGGGCAAACCTTAAGATGAGTTTCCAAAGCCCTCTGTAGATGATCCTTTTGGAAGAGAGAAGGTTGTTTCAAAGTCACCGGGGAGGCGGAATACCAAGGCCTAAAAAACAGAAGTGTCAGATCTATTTTTGTTGGAAAGTTGTAAGACTGATGCATCCAGATTTCTGAAGTGGCCTGGGTGGCATCTCACCCAGAGAGCAGAAAAAACCCTAGGCTTGCGGTGTAGGAACGGGGGGCGCGCGGTGCACCGGGGTTACCATCGCGGACAGTGCCACTGAAGCCCTCACCCCCACCCCTGCAGCTGGGCGGCGGAAGAGTGGGAGCATTGCACCAAAACCTGCGGCGCCTCTGGCTACCAGCTGCGCACGGTGCGCTGCCTGCAGCCGCTCCACGACGGCACCAACCGCTCCGTGAACAGCAAGCACTGCGCCGGCGAGCGGCCCGAGAGCCGCCGGCCCTGCAACAGAGTGCCCTGCCCGGCCCAGTGGAAAACGGGGCCCTGGAGCGAGGTGCGTGTGCGAAGTCTGAGCGGCCGGGGAGGGGGGACAGGAAACGTGTGTGTGGAAACACGTGAAACATATTTTAATTTCGCTTGTGTATCCGGTGGGCTTTGTGTGAATGGAGAAACTGTCACATTGTTTGGAATCAGTAGAAACCTGGGCATATTAAGAAAAAATGGTATTTTAAAAGTGTTTGCATGTAAGATTCATTGATGGGGGCAAACCACATTTGGATGCTTTGGGATACAAAGCTGTCTAAAAGGTGACTGATTTTCTAATATTAGTGTTGACCGCACTGTCCCTCCTAGATACGTTTTAAATCCCTAACCTTGAACGCAGGGCCCTGCCCTGTGTGATACCCCACTGTTTGTGTGTGTGTGTTTAATTGAGGTATAGTTGATACAACACTACCTTAGATTCAGGTGTACAACTTAATGATTTGGTATTTGAATACATTGCAGAATGGTCACCAACAATAAATAAATAAATCTCACAATCTCTTCTTGATCCATCTTCCTTTATTCCACCTCTTTGTCCCAGTCTGAGGAAACTGTGGAAGGAAACTTCACTCTTCCAAAGACCAGCTGGTTGGAGCCTCCTCCCTTCTGACCATCTATCTGACCTTCCCTCTCTATCTGACCATCTGCCCATCATCCATCAAGGTTCAGCTTCATGGTCCAAAATGCCACCTTCCAGGGGTGTCTTTTCTGCAGTCCTTCCTCTTCATTCCAAAAGCAGAAGCCTACCAATGGCTTGCTGATCACAGAAGTGTATCACAACTCCTGTCTTTCAGCCTGTGCTCAGCCCTAGTCCAAGCATTTCTCAAAAAACAAAAAAAGGAAAAAAAAAAAAGGTAGTTTGCTTCCCCAGTGCCCAGGTGGTGCCTGTCTGAATAACGTCTGTTTGGTGACTAGCTGAATCAGTGTCTCGGTCTGTGTATTAACCACAGATCTTTGCCGTTTCTAAAGATTCCGAATAAGGAATTATGGGGCCATAGAAGAGTGGCTAGGAGGACAGGAACTCAAAAAAGCAGATAGGGAATGAAAGAGGAAGTGGAGAGCAGAGCCAGGATGGAAGGAACAAGCCAATGAAGGTTACCTGCACAGGACTAGAAGAACTCACCTCTCACTCTCTTCAGAGCCCTGGAACAAGACTTCTTCCTCTACAGATCCCGCCTAGATCAATAGCATGGCTGTCTCTGGACTTAGTTCTGGAGCAGTTATCCCCTTCCTTAAATAAATGAATTTGTGGGAATAGAGTAATAGTAGTTCCAACACAGCGCATGAGTCAGTTTGCCATCTGTAAGGAAGGTGAGAGAAGGGGAAGCTCAATCCGAGATCCGCTCCCTGAAAATGAATTCCACCACTGGTTTTAGGAGCCGGCAGAAGGTGTTAACACTGTAACAATTTCTTCAGCATCAAATGCTTCCTAAGTGCCAGACTCACCTGCTTTACATACATCGTTTCCTTTGCCTTCATTTACTCCAACTATTCTGTGAGGCTTTCAGAAAAAGAGCAGTGTTCCCAGGCTGGTGAAGGATGGAGCCAGGGTATAAACAGGATTCTCTGTCTCCAAAGTCACTGTAACACTGCATAGCAGAGAAGGAACCCCAGCGCGGTGTATGCATGTATGCTTGTGCGTGCCTGTGTGTGCCTGAGTGTGCACGTGGGGGAAGGAAGAAAGGCCGTCTTGGTGGAGTAAAACGTCTACAATCATAGCCTTTGTTTCCGTAGTGTTCAGTGACCTGCGGTGAGGGAAGAGAGGTGAGGCAGGTCCTCTGCAGGGCCGGTGACCACTGCGACGGGGAGAAGCCTGAGTCTGTCCGAGCTTGTCAGCTGCCTCCCTGTAATGGTAGGTGTGACTCTGATTGATTTCACTGTTCTGACCATGGTTCACTTTTTTCTTTATTTTGATTTTTTAATTAATTCATTTATTTTAATTGGAGGACAATTACTTTACTGTGATGGCTTTTGCCTCACATCAACATGAATCGGCCATAGGTATACACGTGTTCCCCCCATGCTGAACCCCCTCCCCGCCTCCCTCCCCTACCCTATCACTCTAGGTTGTCCCAGAGCATCTGCTTTGGGTACCCTGCTTCATGCATCAAACTCCCACTATGACTATATTTTGGAGCCTCAGAAAAGGAGAATTTCCTTTCAGGACACGCTCTGGAATTCCCATTTACTTATTGAAAAATAACTTCAGGAAAACATACTTGAAATATTAACCTAATACAGTTCTTTAAGATGGGTGTCTGAGGCAATATCCCCTCCAGTTAATTACCATCACCACTGCAGCCTCCATGGTCCCCAGTGGACGGTAATGCTGGGGTGAGGGCTGTATCATGTATATAAAGTTTCTGTTAATCTGTGTCTAGAAGAAGCTACTTCTTTCCTCTCTGACTTTCTTTATAACTTCAGATTATTGTTAAAGGTATCATAATAGAGAATGTTTTGTAATGTTTTACTAAAATTATTCAGTTGAGACATGCAGATGATAAATGTCATTCATTCACAAAGCTGTTGTCAATACCTGCATCCATATCCATGAAAGTGAAAGTCGCTCAGTCATGTCTGACTCTTTGCAACCCCTTGGACTATACAGTCCATGGAATTTTCCAGGCCAGAATACTGGAGCTGAGTAGCCTTTCCCTTCTCCAGGGGGTCTTCCCAACCCAGGGATCGAACTGGGGTCTCCTGCATTGCAAGTGATTCTTTACCAATTGAGCTATGAGGGAAGCCCAAATATTCAACAAATGTGCTTGCAAAATAGGCACCTTGTATCTAGGCTAAAATTTGCTTGACCTATTCCTTCAGTATTGCAAAAACAGAGTGTCTTTTCTTTATTTTAAAGTGCAGATCTTGCTCAATTTAAAGGAGAGTTGTATCCTGATAAACTCTTTCTGAGTTGAAAATACATTCAGTCAAAAATGCATTTAATACAACTAACTTACAGAACAGGGCTTCCAAGGTGGCTCAGTGATAAAGAACCTGCCTGCCAATGCAAGAGATGTAGATTCCATCCCTAGGTGGGGAAGAGTCCCTGAAGGAGGAAATGGCAACCTATTCCAGTATTCTTGCCTGGATAATTCCATAGACAGAGGACCCTAGTGGACTAGGATTGCAAAGAGTCAGACATGACTGAGCATGCATGCATATATCATCTCATGTGCACAACTTAGTCAACACCATGCCTTAGCCTTAAACATGCTCTTAACACTTATGTTAGCCTACACTTGGGCAAAATCATCTAACTCAAAGCCTATGAATAGTTTTCTGGGTACAGTATGATTAAAAGTCGTTTGCCCTGGTGATCACCTGACTGACTGGGAGCTGCGGCTGCTGCCCTGCCCAGCATCACGAGAGGATCATTCCATTTATCACTAACCCAGAAAAGATCCAAATTCAAAGTCTGAAGTACAGTTTCTACTGAATGTATATGGCTTTCACGCCATCGTGAAATCCATAGATCAAAAGTGAAACTGTCATGAGTCCGGGATGTCTGTATAATTCAATTTGCTGTTGTAATAAATAGCATATATTGGATGGATTCCGCTTCTATAACTTGTCTCCTCCTTCTTCCTTTTCTGTCGCTCTCTACCTCAGCCTGTGTGCTGTCTGTCTCATCTTGTGTCTCCACTTCACTCTCCTCTCATCTCCTCTGTGGGTCTCACTCCCTGTTCCTGATTTGCTGCCAGCTGCTGTTTGTGGGCCGCTCACTTTCTGTGTACCCCACACGTGCTTTTTTCCACTCACTTTTTCTTCTCCCCCTCTCACTCACTCTCTTCCTCTCTTAGTCTCCCTTCCTCCTCATCTCTTTCTCCTGCTCTCTCTTTCCCTTTCCTCTTCTCCCTGTCCCCATGTCTTCCTGACTCTTCTTTTTCTTCATTTCCCTCTTTTTCTCTCTGACACCCCTCATCCTTCCCTTTCTGGCGCATGTGTCTAAAAGTGTCTTTCTTTCTCCTCCACTTTCATCTCTCATTTCCGCCCCCCCTGTCTCTGCCACTCCTCATCTGTCTCTCCATCTTCCCATCTCTTACCTTCTTCCCCATCTCTTGTCTTCCCTGCCTTCTTTCTCTCCCAGCCCCCCGTGTCCCTTCCCTTCTGACTTCCCATGCCTGTCTCTCTCTCTCTCTCTCTTCCTATTCTCCCACTGCCTGTCTAATCTTCCGAAGTAACCTTATGAATTATTTCTCTGCCTATTTTCCTTTGATAATGTGGGGTGGCATGAACAAGTATGACCATGAGGGGGAGACAAAGGACTTACATACTTAATCATTTTTCTCTGGAAAGTATATTTGAAAGTTCAAAGCACAAGTCAAAGCCAAAAGAACAAATTTACCTACTGAGAAGCAGTAAATTTACTGTCACCATAATATTTTGCTTTTATGTAAGTGTTACTGTCAGAAGGCTAAACACTTTGTGAGTAAGGTTTATTGCTCTTAATAACTGGTAGAGCTGTATATTTCGGCAAATATGCCCAATTGTCAGCAGGTATGTGCTTGATTCTCTTCCTTAATCCAAAAGAAAATATTATAGGCATAGAAAGACGTAAGCATAGAAAAAATAATTTGGATACGATAAGGGTTTGATACTTGATGTAAAATCCATTAATTTGCAGGGATTTGTGACCTAATTAAGATTACAAGCTAATTCTTTTCTAGTATGAGATATTCAAATGCATCATATTGTGTCATAGGTGTGTAAATGTCAGGCAAAAACAAGTCATCTTAGAGTTTGGGAAGTGTACATGACATTCTAACAAAGGTGATAAGGTTAATCTCTATTGGTCTTGCCAGCTGACCCTCCTTTTTTGATCCCCCTGCCAAACTTTAGAAAAGGGATTCAATTTCTTTGGCAAGTTATATAGCAAGTTCCTTAACTAGCAATGTAGAATTACCCAACATTACATTGTGATTGTGATTGTATTACATAAATGCCACAATTTATAATTCTTTGCATTTATTATTTGGATATGAGATCTGTATTCTGTGTTGGATTATGTATATGAGCTCTGCAAAGAATATGCCCTGGAATGGCTGAAAAGAAGTACAGACTTTTTATAAACTCAACATTTGGATTTTTTGAAATCTAATTCTTACAACTTATGATTAATAAAATTTTAAAATAATGGAAATAGTATGTACAAACACAACTACCAAGTGTTTTATAAGTGGTGCTTAGTATTCTTTAAAGTACTGTCAATTCGATAAAATTAACCATGTATTATTCATAAGAAAGTTGGCACATGTTACCCAGATTTGTGCTTTCAAATAACAAATAACCTGAGAACATTCAATGGTAAACATGAAACTATTGCTTCACTCTGGAGAATATTCTCTGAATCAAAATTCTATCTTGATTTTTCTTTTAGTAATATAGTTTCAAGATTTAATATGTCCCAACAGATCATTAGTATTTTTTATTTTCAATTTAAACTTAATATGGAGACTACTCTATCATAAAGACAAAACTATCATAAAATTTTAAAAAACAGATGCCTCTCTATGTCTTAAAAGTATGATAAAACAAATTCAATATTCTATTTTCTAAAATCAGAAATACATTCCTAAGAAGAAAAAAATACCCTTGATCTGAAGACTCTTGATGGGGATGTGAAAGTGCTGGTCAATTCAAGTGCTTTGCACAGAGAGAACAACTTATTTTAGTAAATTTATTCTATTATTCATATTTTAACGCAAAGGCTCATGTGGAAAACACCTATCGATGTTAGATCTTAGTTAAATCTTTTTATATTCATAAATGATTTTCATGCCTTTCCTCCTTTTATTTATTTTTAGTTCTATTTATTTTTATATTTAAAATGAAATATAGTCAGCATACAGTATTATGTCATTTCATTATGAAATGAGGACCACAGTAAGTCTGTGCCCATACAAAGTTATCACCATATGACTGGCCATATTCCTTATGCTCTGTGGGACATCCCTATGGCTTATTTATTCTGTAATTGGAGGTTTGTACCTCTTAATCTCCTTCATCTATTTTGCCCTCCCTTAGCAACCACTCCTTTGTTCTCTGAATCTATGATTTCGTTTTTTTGTTTTGTTCTTTTTTAGATTCCACATATAAGTGAGTTCACACAATATATATCCTTCTCTGTCTATTTCACTTGGCATAATGCCCTCTAGCTCCATGCGTATTGTCCACCGTTTATGTTTGGACATATGTCTTATTTTGTTTTTCTTTGAATCTCTGTAGATGAGCCATGTTTGGGAGATAAGTCCATATTTTGTCAAATGGAGGTGCTGGCACGATACTGCTCCATACCAGGTTATAACAAGTTATGTTGTGAATCCTGTAGCAAGCGCAGTAGCACCCTGCCACCGCCGTACCTTTCAGAAGCTGCTGAAATTCACGATGATGCTATCTTTAACCCCAGTGACCTCCCTGGATCTCTAGTGATGCCTACATCTTTGGTTCCGTACTATTCGGAGACTTCTGCTGAAAAGAAGAAATCTTTGAGTAGAATCTCTTCCATAGCAGGTCCAAATGAGCATGCTGCTTTCAGGCCAAACAGTAAATCCAATGGTGCTAACTTATCCCAGAGGCAAGCACAGCCAGCAGAAGATAAAACTCTGGGACCGGCCTCCCCACCCACCAAGAGTGGCCACCTCAGTTCATCTCCACAACTGGCTGCTGCCCCCTTCCTTGCAGCCAGTGATTCCATAGGTGCTTCTTCTCAGGCAAGAACCTCAAAGAAAGATGAAAAGCTTATTGACAAGAGACGTCCGCTAAGATCATCCACGTTGGAAAGATGAGCAAGTGAAGCCAAAAGGCTCGACGTCAGTGAAAAATCTGGAGGACCTGCCTCTCTCCATGGTGCATACAGCTTGTTTAAAGTGGAACTCTCCATAAATCATCAGCTCATTTTCTCTGTGAGTGGAAGAAAAAAAAGTGCTGGTTCACTTTCTAGTTGCTTTTGTTCTCCTTTTGTTCTGCCTCGACTCATTTACCAGAATTCATTGGAAGAAAGCACCAAAGATTATTGACCGGAGAAAAGTAAGTTGCTAGGTGTGTGGGTCATTTTCTAAAGCAGGAAAGGGACTGGAACCAGTTGTGCGTATCAGCTGATTTCTTTTTTAATTTTAAAAAATTACAGTAAAAAGAAAAAAGAGGTGCCAATGGTTTACACTTTAACAAAATGTTTTGGAGCAAAGAATTCTTAGACTTGTATTCCTATTTATCTATATTAGAAATATTGTATGAGCAAATTTGCAGCTGTTTGTGTAAATACTGTATATTGCAGAAATCAGTATTATTTTAAGAGATGTCTCAACTGATTGTTTACTGTGTTACATTTCTGGATGTTCTAGGTGCCTGTCATTGAGTATTGCCTTATTTGACATTGTATGAGTTGATTTTCAAAGGAGAATATTACCAAGAAGTTAGAATTGCAGCTACTGACAATACAAAGGGTTGTGTTGTGAGGTTTTGTTTGATCAACAATGTGACACATAAAGAAAAAGAAAAAGAATAGATAAGCTGCAGATACTACCTTCCATCCTTTAAATAAAGAAGAATAAGATTAGTGTCTTAGCATACTTGTAGTCACAGAGAACAGAGACCAATAAATGAGCCCATGCAAGACAAAACAGGAACCCTTTAACCGGGGTTTCAATAGATTTTGAAACCATTGATTTTCCTCTGTTCTTGTGTTGTTTTTAATCATCCCATTGTTGACATATACAAATGTGTATACTCGATGTACTGTAATAATAATGACAAATGTTCTGAGATCATTTGTATGTTGGTAGCTGAGAAAAGCATCATGAAACTAGATTAACACTCAAATAGAGCAGGGCTGTAGGGCTCTAGAAGCACGTTCAAGAAAGTATTTGTCAATGGTTGCAATATTTATTTTCCGCATGGTTCATATTCACATGCTCACAACCACAATGCATCTGACTGCAATAATGTGCTAGTAATTTATGTCAGTGATCACTTTACTTACAGTGAAGCCAGAAATTCCAGGGAGTAGATGTAAAGTATCTGTATATAGAATTCAGAACTGAAGATATTTATTAAAATTTGATTTTTTTTCTTGATAGTATTTTTATGTACTAAATATTTACTCTAATACCAATGACATATTTTGGTAAACTAGAGAGACATAACTAGGGCTGCATGCTTTGTTCTGTACATAGAGGAGACATTTAAGCAAACTAAAGCAGCCAAATCAAAGAACTAAATTTGAACAAAATTGATGTTATGCAAACCTTTTGCAATTTTAGAGGAGTTGATGCAAAGTTGGTAACTTGTTCCCCTTCAATGAAACATAAAATTGTATGGGCTCAGACAGCTAGCTGTTTAATGAAATAGTAAATTAGGAACACCAGAAAAGAAGTATGTGAAAGAAATGAGTATTTCATGAATTACACTTAAAAGGAAAAAGAAAGATAAAAGTTGTCAGCATAATGATTTTGAAGTCAGTTCCTGAACCATCTAAAAATACAGTTTGCAAACTAAAATGAAAATATGTTAACCTCTCAACACAGGGAATGTGCAAAAACTTTTTGCATTTTAACCATGGTAAAAATAACAGCTTCACCTATTGACTCTATACCTCTAAAGAATCGCTGCTACTTGGTGCAAGACTTTTGAAGGGCAAATGAATTAGGTGAAATCCAGATTGTAAATCTCTGAGCCTCAAGCAGAAGTCTTTTTTTTTTTTCCCTAAAATTTCAGAATCAAATTCTCTCTAGTTTGCTTGTGTGTGCATGCATCTAGTCCACAGGGGATTACAAAGAAAGCTGGTCACACACATACACCTCTCATAAAGATGTATATATTCATTATACTTCTGATCTTTGAGCTTCCTTTTCTACTAAGCTAAAAATTCCTTTTTATCAAAGTGTACACTACTGATGCTGATTGTTGTATTGGGAGCACGTAGCAATAAAAATGTTAACAAAGTATAGACCTGGCTCAATTGAAATTTTTATCATCACTGAGCAATGGTAACCAAGTTCTTTCCTCCTACAAAGTGAAATAATATCAAGTTCAATTGCTACTTGTACTTTCTCCAAAGTGGCTCAAAGAAAGTGACAGGGTCTCTTCTTTTCACATCAGGGTGTATCATAATATTTTTTAAAAAAGAAAATAAGAGGTTATGACGTGACTTTTTTTGCCTAAGTCCATTCCACAGAACTTGAAGAGAGAGAAAGTGGCAATAATGCTAGTGGGATAAGAAGGAAAAGGGGATCCTTCTAGTTTTAAAATGTGTCATCTCGGGATAGTTTTTCGAAAAGCTGCCATCAGCTCTGAACCCTGAGGACTGATGGAAACACATGACCCATGACTCAGGAGGACCATCCAGAGGAGGGGGCTTCATCATGTAACAAGGAGATACAGTGTTGCCATAGTTTCTAGTCTAAGCTGCAAAGGCAGAGGACTCAGGTTTGCCCCCCACCAACCACTTCACGCCTGAATTGATCTTGCGTGATCTAACTAGATTTCAGTTTCCTCATCTGCCAAATTGGAGGCAGAATTATCAAATTTCATTGTGGAACTGCTGTTAAAAATGAGCTTAAGTAAAACTGTTAGCCAGGCCCTAACACATAGTAATTCAAAATAAAAATCAACTTTGTCATTGTGGTTTCCCCAATCTCCTCATCATCTTCAGTTCAGTTCAGTTCAGTCACTCAGTTGTGTCCGACTCTTTGCGACCCCATGAACCACAGCATGCCAGGCCTCCCTGTCCATCACCAACTCCCGGAGTTTACCCAAACTCATATCCATTAAGTCAGTGATGCCATCCAACCATATCACCCTCTGTCCTCCCTTTCTCCTCCTGCCCTCAATCTTTCCCAGCATCAGGGTCTTTTCCAATGAGTCAGCTCTTTGCATCAGGTGGCCAAAGTATTGGGAGTTTCAGCTTCAACATCAGTCCTTCCAATGGACACCCAGGACTGATTTCCTTTAGGATGGACTGGTGGGATCTCCTTGCAGTCCAGGGGATTCTCAAGAGTCTTCTCCAACATTACAGTTCAAAAGCATTATTTCTTTGGTGCTCAGCTTTCTTTATAGTCCAACTCTCACATCCATATATGACTACTGGAAAAACCATGGCTTTGATTATCTGGACCTTTGTTCGCAAAGTAATGACTCTGCTTTTGAATATGCTATCTAGGTTGGTCATAGCTTTTCTTCCAAGGAGCAAGCAAGCGTCTTTTAATTTCATTGCTGCAGTCACCCTCTGTAGTGATACTTGAGCCCCCAAAAATAAAATCTTTCACTGTTTGCATTGTTTCCCCATCTGTTTTTGCCATGAAGATGGGACCGGATGCCATGATCTTCATTTTTTGAATGTTGAGTTTTAAGCCAACTCTTTCACTCTCTTCTTTCACTTTCATCAAGAGGCTCTTTAGTTCTTCTTCGCTTTCTGCCATAAAAGTGTTGTCATCTGCATATCTGAGGTTATTGATGTTTCTCCCAGCTATCTTCTTTCCAGCTTTTGCTTCATCCAGCCCAGCATTTTGCATGATGTACTCTGCATATAAGTGAAATAAGCAGGGTGACAATATACAGCCTATTTTGGAACCAGTCTGTTGTTCTGCTGTTGCTTTTTAACCAGCATACAGACTTCTCAGGAGGCAGGTAAGGTGGTCTGGTATTTCCATCTCTTTAAGAATTTTCCACAGTTTGTTGTGATCCACATGAAGGCTTTGGCATAGTCAATAAAGCAGAAGTAGTTCTATGATCCAACGGATGTTGGCCATCTAATCTCTGGTTCCTCTGCCTTTTCTAAATCCAGCTTGAACATCTGGAAGTTCACAGTACACGTACTATTGAAGCCTTGCTTGGAGAATTTTGAACATTGATTTGCTAGAATGTGAGGTGAATGCGGTTGTGAGGTAGTTTGAGCATTCTTTGGCATTGCCTTTCTTTCGAATTGGAATGAAAACTGAACTTTTCCAGTCCTGTGGCCACTGCCTAGTTTTCCAGATTTGCTGGCATATTGAGTGAAGCACTTTCACAGCATTATCTTTTAGGATTTGAAATAGCTCAACTGGAATTCCATCACCTCCACTAGCTTTGTTCATGGTGATGCTTACTGAGGCCCACTTGACTTCACATTCCAGGATGTCTGGCTCTAGGTGACTGGTCACAGCATCATGATTGTCTGGGTCAGGAAGATCTCTTTTGTATAGTTCTTCTGTGTATTCTTGCTACCTCTTCTTAATATCTGCTGCTTCTGTTGGGTCTGTACCATTTCTGTCCTTTATTGTGCCCATTTTGCATGAAAAGTTCCTTTGGTATCTCTAATTTTCTTGAAGAGATCTCTAGTCTTTCCCATTCTATTGTTTTCCTCTCTTTTCATTGATTACTGAGGAACGCCTTCTTTTCTCTCCTTGCTACTCTTTGGAACTCTGCATTCAGATGTTTATATCTTTCCTTTTCCCCTTTGCCCTTAGCATCTCTTCTTTTCTCAACTATTTGTAAGGCCTCCTCAGACAAACATTTTGCCTTTTCGCATTTATTTTTCGTGGGGATGATCTTGATCCCTGCCTCCTGTACAATGTCACAAACCTCTGTCCATAATTCTTCAGGCACTCTGTCTATCAGATCTAATCACTTGAATCTATTTGTCACTTCCACTGTATAATCATAAGGGATTTGATTTAGGTCATACCTGAATGTCTAGTGTCTAATGTCTAATGTTTTCCCTACTTTCTTCAATTTAAGTCTGAATTTGGCAATAAAGACTTCATGATCTGAGCCATAGTCAGCTCCCGGTTTTATTTTTGCTGTCAGTATA